TATGTAGAGAGAAAATCATGGATAACGTGACTTCGTGTCTGCAAAAAAAGAACTTCATTTAAATGTTATGTTTTCTATTTTTACTGACACACTTCGTTCATCGACATCAACAATCATGTTTGACAGGTGAGAAGTCAAGGTTAATTTTGAATGAAATCAAGATTGTCTCGTATGAAATTACTGAATAATATTTGAGAATTTTTACACAAGAATACTTAAAGCAACAAAAAAAATATTCACTCCAACAAACAACCGTAGTCTTCGAATCTTCTCTAAATTCTGAAGGAACTGGTGAAATTCATAGCAGAACTATTCCTACAATATGAATATAACAGTATTTTTTGTTACTTAATTTTTATATGAAGATAATATTCCTTATAATATACATGCTAACACTCAACCTCGGATTCAGTCCAATGTCAGAGCCGCCTAGGTTAACGCCAGGTTGAAACATTCATACTGCTAGTTTTAGATTTGATATTAGTTATATTCACTAGTTGAAGTTCTTGGATCTATTTTGTTCAGATTCTTATTTTTCGGAATCGATCAGTCAAGATTCTTTTAACAGAACAGAAAAAAAAACATTCTTGTCTGACCTTCATATCATTTGATACTTCGATGTAGAGATGTATAAGTATCAGCATCTGTCAGTTATCTATTCACTTGTGCATAGCAGCAACTAAATGTTATTAGCCCATGTGAAAAAGAAGTAGCAAAAACCAACTTTTTATTACTACAACTAGTAAAAAGTGATCAGGAAAAATATAATAAGTAAACCTTTTTTTAGTAGCTTTTGATGCCAAAACACGTTCACTTATTATTACTTTTTATGATCATCTTTTAATATTTATAGTAATAAAAAGTTGATTATTGCCTACTTTTTTTCTACATGGGAAGATAAGTTTTGATTACCAAGAGCTATCAGATTCACAAACAATGCATGAGTTTTATGTCAATATTAGGTGAGCTAACATACTGAATAGAAAAGTAAATCTGCTGTTATATTATTGAGTCGGATGACATTTGGTTTAAAAAAACCACTTTACGACATAGTTCACATGATGTTTCATTAAATACGACGGCTAGAGGTTTGCTTCATGTTGCATATGGTGAAAATGCGTCATTTAATAGTTTGGCTTTTGAAGAATTTGATATTTTACTAAGTGAGATGAATAAAAATATTTAAATCTTACCATGATGTTCAAAATATTCATTTTCAGATATTATTGGATGTATACATAATCAACATCCTGCATCTGTAATGCCAATAGTCAATTGATAAAATACTCTTTGCAACAGATGAGTTATGGTGTTAGCAAGAAAATTTTTTCAATCGAATTGAGAATAACTTTATCAAACCGAAGGACGTCGACAATAGACTATCAATCGTCCAATCCGAGTGATGAAAACGAAGAAGATGAACAATCGTTAAATATTATTTATGTAAAAAGACAATTTTTGTTATTCGTTTCTCTTATTTCTTTTGACGAATACTTGCCAGATGTATCGCATGACCATGATTTTTTTTCATTATTATAGTAAATATTCTTCTTTTCGTCTTTTTGTCTCTCATCTGAAATTGTGTAAAATAATATGAACTTTTCTTATAGATATTTTTTTATTCTTGTGTAAAATCTCGAAATAAAGTAAAACAGAGGAGATGTAATAGCCTTGTTAATCCATAGCAAAAGCTTTACCTAAATTGCAAGAATCAATCAAGAAAGTGAAAAAAAAAAAGAATCAGGCTGAATTCAAGAAAACAAGATATATTCGACGTAGATTTATTGGTTCTGCACAAAAATTTTCATAACATAAAATTATTCTTTATATTAAAGTAAATTTCGAGAAAAATACTAGTTTCATCTTACTTATGACATTGTTTTTCGTCATAATGAGTGACAATTTACTAATAATTGGAGCATAGAATTCATATATGGTGATTGATGGGTAGTTACATCAGAAATCTCCCACATTATATAAAATTATACACAACGAAGCCGAAACCTTCAGTGGTTGAAGGTCGCACTACTCTAAGAGCTTTGCTGAAAAACGTTCCTATAGACTTCCATTGAGCATTCTAGGTTTTTTAAACTACAAAATACTACATTTTCGTCTACTATCACTATTTGTATGATTTTTCATCATTTCACCCTATTGACTTTCTTCTATCATTACAAATTGTAATCGGAATTATATATTGATATTTGTATAGTACTAAGTTAGTACATTCTATATAGTACTATATTAGCTAATTCATATGATTGAAATACATATTGGATCGATACGAGATTATTCAAATGATGAAAAATCAGTAAAAATAGTCTATTTTTCGATAAACTGTTCTACGTCATAACATAATGATTAGCGACTGGCTTTAATCATATTAAATACATATAGCTAGTGCCTATTTAAGAATACAGGAGCCAGACGTTCAAACAGTTTCTATTGGTAAATAAGGTAATACAAACGGTTCACCCGATAAGTACCTTCGATGAAAAAATTTCATAGTCTTTCAAAAGATTTTACTTTTTTTCGCACGAAATCAAAAATAGTTCCAAGTTTGTGTCCGAACGAAGGACCTTATAGGTTTCATAACAGAAATCTTTTTAGAGCGTATGAAAATCACAAATAATAACAGTATCGTTGTTTATTTATCGAAATTTATTGCTCCACCGTATTGAACTCATTCATCTTCACAGAACGTTGATTTTATGTATCATTAGCTATGCTATTAGATAGATATACAAGAGAAAAAAAGAAAATAATAAGTAATCATCAAATTACTAAATACTCTTCATTTATATTTTTCCAAACTTCAATAAAGCTAACTTAATTGCTTGTTTCACGAATTTATATGGAATAAAATGTTGAATATTATTGTTCGCTAACTATTTTGATATCAAATATCATATCTGTTGCATTTGCTGAAACTAGATCAAGGATCAGTAAAATGATATACAAATCTTACTCGTTACGAAAATTGCACCACAATAGATCATAGAATCATGTATTCTACAGGTGAACGTATAGTGAGAAAAAAATGCTTAATTACATTCAGATTTAATATTGTTGAACAATTGGTAGAGATCAAACAATAATAGAGGAAGAGATTGCTTATGTACTGCTTGTTATTTGCTTTAAAAATAATAAGATAAATAAAAAGTATAATATATTACAAGCATCATAAGATGATGCTGATAGCAATGCTGATGAAATCTACGATAACAATTTTTCATACTCTACGACTCCAAATAAATAGTCCTCTAATGAAACTGAAGTATCAGTAAATCATTTCCGTTCAACTTTATGATAAGATGTTTACTCTCATGTGGAAGCAATGAATATATCAAATGCAGTTTTTGATCTACTTAGAACAAAAATAATTATTGATACGTATATATTTCTAAATATTCAAAATAAATAATTTTTTTTAATATAAATTTAGCCGTTATAATCACAAATTAATGACATAAACGGTAATGCCATAAGGTTGTTCTTCACAATCTATGTGAAAAAATTTGCGTTCAAAATCAACAATGACAATGAATATCATAGATTCTATGTCATCTAATATTAAGTTAAAAGAACTTTATGTATTAATCGATATCTTTAAACAATTATTTATTGCAAGCAAAAAAAACCAATAAATACATTTAATAAGAATAGTTCTATATAAGAAATGTCAGTTTTGAAGTATAATCCGTTGAAAGTGGCGCTACCTTCAATGAGTTGCATCTCAGAGGAGGCAACGCTGTTTCCAATTGATTGGGGTAGAAGAAAAATTGAATGATTTTGTGATTGTACGGAACATCGGCCTAGATAGGAAATATTATTTAGGGTCTATATGGTGTCTCAGCTTAACCACCGTTGTTTAGTGGGAATAAAGCAATTCGAAAAGATACTATCGACTAAATCTTTAAATTATATGAAGACGATACCATAAGTCAATAGTCATCTAAGAAAAAAGACAGTATTGATGTAAGTGAGAGACAGAGAGTCTTTCATTTCATGGTAATGCATATTGGAATCTAAAGAAGACTATCGGACTGATTCAATAGGTTATTTAAAATTGTCTTTGCAGATATGATGAAAACAACTATTTATTACTTAAATCAAAATCACTATTCACAATAGTGTGATGAATGTAGAAATCAAATTCCTAGCTTCATTCCTATAATTTACAAGAAATAAACCCCTGTATCTCAGTACTATTGGACAACATCGATGAAAAACGATCAATAATTTGACTTCATCATTACATTAACCTTCAATATAAGCCATATATTGATAATATCTAAGAGGAAATAAATGAAAATGATTATGCTATTGTTACGAATGATTTTGCTGAAAATTGTACATTTGCCTAAAGTGGAATTCAGTCAGCATATTGGAATCATTAACAAGCAACCGTTTCTACAGTTCATATAAAAATTATTGATTCTCATCAAAATTTATCAGTTATTAGCCACTTTTTAAGTAATCATGCTGGCTTCCTGTACTGCAGCCAACGAAAAAATTCCAGATTTCGTGAAAATAGATTTCTGTTGGTAAAAGAAAATTATTTATGCATGAAATGATAGATTAATGCATTTCAAAAACACGTACAATATGATGAATCTCTCATTTCATAAACCAAACTTCGGCCTCAAAGTTAAATAGTTATATACTTCTACTACTTATGGTAAAAGTGTGTATGATGGTAAGATAATTTATTTTCTATACTTCAACATTTCTTGATATCGTAAGAAGCACTGAAATTGAAGTAACAAATGCACCTTCCGATCATTTCTATTGATAAATGAAAGAACTCACTATATACTATAATCACTTATACAATAGAATAGATATACGTCGATGATAAACATTCAAATGATCTAAGATAGATAAAGCGAAGAAAACATGATTTATTAAATTACATCCTTTTCTTTGATCTCTGCCAGATTAATATTATAAGCTGATGTAGTTACAAATTTCAAAGCGGTTAAACCTGTAAAGACATAATGCAATCTATTGTAAAACTTATTATGATAAGTGTTGGTGCAGGATTAAAAGCTGCAGTAACTCAATATATCGCACAACCATCGTACAAAAAAAATCATTTCTATCGCCACAATACTTTTTCAATTTTTGTGAAACGAAAAAATCATCATTATCCAAACTCATAGTTTTCTATATGACTAGTGATAATATTGCTGAAACAAGGAGAAATACTATGAATAAATGATAGACAAGATTGATTTCAAGGAGTACGTATCTTAGAACCGGTTTTCTATATGATAACTCTCATTTTCATATTGTACACATGGTATATAAAGTTTTCATCGTTTTCCTACTAAACGACCAGGACACTTGGCATTCACTACTACCTCAGATTCATTGAGAGAACAGAATTTCTTTTGCTCAAAAAAGATATTTCGTTAGGTAAAATAATAAGCTATTGATTCATTAAACAAAGACATTTCTATTATTTTTTTATTTTTAACAAAACCTATTTTAAGCAAAATATTTGACATATATATGAAATTATTCTCAGTTTATTCTCTTTTTAGTGTTGGTATTTACGATCTGTGGTAGATTCTACTTTAATTTTTAGTTCTTTAGTCAATACAGCATTAGTTGGAAGATTTTTTGACTTCAAATGAAAAAAACATTACCATAGTGCAAGATTAAAAGTTGAAAAAAGTCGTCGAGACGGTTTCACTGAAGAAGCAAGAAGTGAATGGCTAACAGAATTTAAGGAAATAATGATAAAAAAATAATCTTCTGTATACACCTATGCAGATATGGAACGTTGATGAAAGTGGATTCAGCGATAAAACGCAGTGTAAGGGCTTTGTTTGTAGTCATGTGTTTTTTAACGGTTAGCATGTGATACGTATTTAATGAGCAACTTCATAGTTTGTCTGTAAATCATGTTCTTATCAACTATCCCCAGATCGACTTTTTCACAGAGTGCCGTATTGTCAAATTCGTTTCATACATACGACTTGATGTTATTAAGAAAGTTTCTAAAAATTCATTGACAATTTCTTAAAATAACTAATTTTGGAATTTTTTTGATACAATTTCTCGTTTTTGATACGATTTTGGGTTTCTGGGACCTTTCACATTATACTTGAAATAAAAATGAATTCAGTTTTAAACAGAAGTAAAAAATGCCATGAAATTATAGAAAGCAGTACCTTTTTTATTGGGAAAAATTGCATGTTAGAGAAGGTCGTAATTGTGTGGAAAAATGTCACAATTAGTTCTTTTAGAGTATCAATAAATTAGACAAATGAATGCAGCTCATCTTGCAAAAAACACTCGAATTTATCATATAAGCAGCATCAAATGGTTTTGCTTGAAGAAACTTTGACAGTAAAACAGTCTGGAGAAAAATATGCAGATCTGATAGTTGAGAGAAACATGAGTAATATAAAGATCATGAATTTATTCATTCATCACGTGTCACCCGATACTGTTTACAGCTACGTATGAAAAATATTGAACGGTTAAAAATAAAATGAGCTAGGAATTTTTTGTGTTCATAGTCATAAAAAATATTAATCATGTTCGACATTTGAATTCAATAACTAAAATTTCATGAGAAGACTAAAAGCGATAAAAACTATGTCGATTTTGCTTCCAATAATAACAACAGAAGGGACCGAAAATTATATTATCAGAGACCAATGTAAAACAATATTAGAGTACTTCTCATCCAACGGTACTTTTATTGGTTGGAAACATAAATCGCTTAGGAGAATGATAACTTCCTTGTTTTTTTTTAAGGATACTTCAGTTTTTGTTTCGACTGACACAAAAAACGTTTATGAAGATAATGAAGGTACTGGTAAAGCATTTACAACTGCTGTTATTTGTGAAAATGCAGCTTGCATTGTTTTCCCTTGTTATACAATTGATGCTGAGAAAAATATGAATATATTATGGTGTCAACAAGGACGTGATCATCTACAATATCATTGTAGCAACAAAGGTTGGATTACAAAAGATCTATTTACTGACTAGTTTCAAAATTTCTTTGGTGCGTAAAAAGCTGATATGTCATGCCAAATAGATTGAAATGAAATGAGACGGCACTGAACATGAAAAGTTTCCTGCACGCTGCGAAAGTTAAACCACAGTTTCCAAAATTCAAATTATGTTTCATTCTACAGCTCATATAGCCATTATAGCTATTAAATTGACTTAGAAGCACAAAATGATACTCTTATTCTTACCACATAATACAACACATACTCTACAGCTACTTGATGTGATAACATTCGGGTTTGTTCTGTTTTACTTTATATATATATATATTACTCGAAAATACTCGTCCTCGATGGCATCTAAACCAGCGTAGAAAAAAACATTAGAAACTATGAGCATCATTTCTGGATAGCACCAAAAAAAATTGTTCAAAAATTACTAATACTTATTTATTTTTTCACATACTTCGTTGAACGACACACTGGTTGAAGTAAGACAACAACTTTTAAGCATACACTGATTTTCAAAAGATTAAAGGTCTTGTTTTTCTCAATATAGCACTAAAATTTTTAGCGACTTGTTAGTATATCTGTGTCATCTTTATGTAAGTTTTAGATAGTGTCCTTGTGTCTCACTCTATAGTGAATGAAAAACTACATTGAGATTAATAATAATGAAAAAATCCCCGGATATTTTCAATAAGGAAAACAACTGCACAGGTAGCAAGAAATTCTTAAAATAATATCTAAAGAATTTGCAGATCGTACGAGTGCTTATTGCAGTTTTACAATTTTCTTTAATTGAATGGTAATTTTTATAATTTTAGTATTTCTACAACCAAATAACGATGTTTAGTATCTCCTCACGTTCGAAAAACTCAAACAATGACAATACGAAAATGGATCTTCCAAAACTTCTAAACAATATTGTTTTTCAAAGAACTCGTATTTTGCCTTTCAACGTTTCCGACAAGTAAGGGAAAGGAGGAGGTATGTGGCTGTTCATCTTATGATAATAAGACTATGAATAACCTTTTTTGTGTTTTAATGATTCAGATGAATCCGTGAATATTGAACTATACAATAATTAAAAACAAGCCAACGTACAACGCAGAGATGTCCATCGCGGCTGAAAATCTGCCGCTGCCGCGCCGCGGCCTTAGAAAAAAAAAGCTGCCGCACCGCTGCCGCGCCGCGACGGTTTATAAAAAAATGTTGCCGCGACGCTGCCGCACCGCGATGACTTATAAAAGAAACGCTGCCGCGCCGCTGCCGCGATGAATTATAAAATAAACGTGCCGCCACCGCGCCGCTGCCGCGACGATTTTCAAAAAAGTGTTTCTAATTTCACTGCTGTGACTATATTTGACCAGAGATATGGGTACTAGTCCATCAGATTTATTCAATATCAGGGCGTTTCATTTGTAAATCGTGAAATTCTATTAAATTCATACAGTTTTTCAATGTCCTCCAAAAAAATCCTGCCGCTGCCGCGATGGTTTTTTAAAAAACCTGCCGCTACCGCGCCGCTGCCGCGATGACTTTTAAAAAAATCTGCCGCTACCGCGCCGCTGCCGCGGTGATTTTTTTTAAAAACCTGCCGCTGCCGCGCCGCCACCGCCACCGCGGCAGCGGCAGCGCCGCGATGGACATCTCTGGTACAACGATCTATTTGATCAAGGTCAAAATCTTATCAATATTCTTTGCTTATCCTATTTATTAACATAATTCTAATGCAAATAAGAGCTGTGTTTCTTTGATTTAATTAGACTTGAATAAATTGTACCAGTGCAACCTCTTTGATACTACATCAAATGATTCGTTTATTTGTTTTGGATCATTTCGTATCCGATAGCATAAGAACAACAAAGTCATGGGTTTTACTAACTAAGAACGAAATCAACTTTCTTCTCAGTTCTTATCTACTGACTTCGGAAGTATTGAATCAAAAAGCATTTCTGTTAGTCAGTATGTGATGACAAGTTATGATGAATATCACCAGGAATTAAGCTGCCTTACGACATAACGAGTAGGCAAAGAAAACTTTTTTCTCTTTCATACGCTTGATTGTTACAGATTTTTATTGTTTTATTATCATACATGCAAGATCGATCTTTTTTCTGAGCCGGTAAAAACTGTGATTTTGTTGTTATTACGTAATCGGATACGAAACGATAACAAGTAGGTGATATTTGCAATGCTTCATTTACGCAATACATATTCACATATATATAGAATGCTATACCAAGAAAAAACATCATTCGACGTAGTGGCGTAGCCAGGAATTTTTAAGTAGTTGTCAGTTTCCCAGTCAAACTTTTTTTGAGTAGTAGGCAGCAATGGGTAATTGTAAAATTTAGTGGGCAATAATTTCTTAAAAACTTATGTCTATTACATAGTGTGGGTGGGTGCAGCTATTTTCATCTACATCCACACCCAACTTTGTCAGGTGTCTATAGCGTAGAATGTTTTCGTGCAGAAATAATTGTTTTCAATTTATGTAAAATTTTCTTTTCTATTTGTTTCAAAGTTAGCATGCTAAATTTAGTTGAATTTCTTTATTTAATTGAACTCTATACAAAACTTCTGTAGATACTGGCGACCTAAATTAGTTTTACTTGCTTACGTATAGATCATCTAGTTGTAAACCTATTTAGTTTTTCTATGTAAGTGATATAGTTACTAAGAAAATGTATTATTTACAAATTGTGTTCTAAATAGTTACATGAAGACAATGAACACAAGTTTAATGAAATAAAATAAGAGATACAGATGAAAATAAAATTATTCATTATGAATTGTAGAATTGTAGAATTTAATTTTCGCGAAGAAGTACAATGGGTATGTGAATGAAGAAAAGATCCCGATTTAGTGACACATCCATAGCTGTACCTTCGTGCACGAGAATTCCTACGCTTTGATTGTCTCTGACTAAGAAAGAAATTTTCTTATAACAGAAAAACATGCGCTGTGTGAGGAACGAGGAAGTATTTCAGATTGCTTGGTTCGTTACATCTGCTATAATACGTCGAAGAAACCATCCAAAAATATTGACTTCACGATAGCAGCTAGTTTGCTCATCAGGATAGATTTATCATTGAATTTTCAGAGTTTTTAGTTGAGTTATTCAGAAGAAATTCGTAAATTGAGAAATAATCTTCAAATTATGTTCATTCAACAGAAAACTCCAATATTAATGTTCATTTCGAGAAAAAAAATTGTCTTTATCAATGTCTTTTGTTTCCGTGCCCTTGTCCATGTCCGTGTCCACCACCTCTTCCATGACTGTCATCACTACCACGTCGCCCGCTATCATGAGAATGCTTACGTTGTTGGCCAGGTGGACCTCCATGTGGATGATTTGGGTGAGATCCATGTCCCATTGGAAGAACTCCACCGCAGTTGCCCATCTTTCTAATATTTTTTGGCTGACTTCAATAACAACGAATAGGAATGTTATAGAGTGAGAGTCGAGAACATAGAATGAGACGAAGATGAAATTGCTTTTATTACACTTGTCAAAGAAAAAAAAAGTAAATAGATTGCATTACATCGAATGGCCTTGCTGTCGTTAAGTAATATAAATGCAATCTTTTTCTCAACAATTTTGAAGAGTTCTATTTTCAAGTGCATAGCATGTATGTAATAAGCAACAGAAAAATGTTTTGTACTAAATCAACTGAATGGATGCAAAAGAAATATTAAAAAAAAAGAGAAGAGATGCGGGGGATGAAATATGACCAAATAAGTAGACTTCATCAATGTTTATTTATTCGGATACTGAATACCAAAATTTATCTCAAATATAAAGAAACTCACATGTAATATAACAACTTCGTTTCAACTTGATTAGAAGAATATGAAGAGAATTCTTCTTTAGGATGTGAATTCAGGTATGGACGAAAAGAAAGGTTTTCAACACTACCTCGGAAATTTTTTACGAGATGATCAATTTTTCTTCTCTCTAATTTTTTTTTTTTTACTAAAGTCATTATGATAGTCAATTCATATCTAGTTTGTTAGTTGGTATGCCTTGTAGGTCGAATATTCTCTCAGTATACAGTGTGATGCTTAGTAGCATTACTGAATTAACCAATCGCTTCTTCATTAGGTTCATTCGAATGTTGCAGTAAAAGACAAAGTGAATTCAAAACGATATGAGATGAATTGCTTTTCATGCTAGAATTATTCTGTTCATTCGACCGACTTTCTACATTCAAGTGTCTACTGTCGAACAATGCAACTGCAAACTACCACACTAATAGCTGCGTTGCTTTCTCCATCAAAAGTCCTCAACAGTTCACTCTTATTTTCATGGCAACATCCATTTATTCACTCGACAATCTAACACAGCGAAAGAATTCTATCAGTGTCACAATTTTATCTTTTTTTCTATTAGGCCAATGAGACGTGTGATTCATACTTTCTCTTGATATTATCGGTCAGTGAGATCATTTTATGCTATGCTTCTTTTTCTCCGCATTATCTCAAAAATAATACAGCATCGTTATGTAGATACGCCGACGAGATATCACTTCACTTGAATATTGACATTCGATTGTTTTTATTGGGTATTAGAAAAAAACCAAGTGTTGACAATCAACAAAATGTGTCACTCGTTGAGTGCTTATTGGAGTTTTTTTACGCAACTGAAAGCAGCTACACAGCTAGATTATGTGCAAACATAGTTTTTTTTCGGCGAGAAAGAATACAAGGAAAGAATGTCCGTCAGTCAATCACTGTTTTCCCTTCTTAAATAAGCCATGCTGTTGAAAATACATTCTCTGTCTTGATTAAAGGCGAACGATTAACGAGCGTTATACTAAAAATAGATAGTTTCTGATATCAATTTGAGCAGAAATCAGATCGATCACTATATAGATGCCTTCATGTTATTCAGAAATTGAATCTTGATTTTCAAACGCAAAAGTCTGGCGAAAATCGATTCAAAAACACAATGGATCAAATCTTTTGTTTTTCTGTGATTATTGACTATATTGATCAAGATAAATTGGTGATAGGCAATAAATGTTTGAT